CTTTTAGGAGTAATATTTTCCTCATAATTTGTGATCCCAAGGGAAGTCCGCGGCGCGGTGGCTCAAATTTAAAATACTTAATTGTGGATTAGAAAATTAATAAGATGGTGTTTCTTTTACTTTTACTTTTAGGAGTAATATTTTCCTCATAATTTGTGATCCCAAGGGAAGTCCGCGGCGCGGTGGCTCAAATTTTAATGGATTAAAAATCAAGGTCAAATGTACGTAGTTTCAAAATTCAAAATTACAAAAGCTCTACAAGTATATATTTATATTGAATTTATGGGGCTATGATCCATAAAAATATAAGAATTACCCACTAGCTTGGCTGTTTTCGATTTCATATTATCTAGGTGGAGTAACTTTAAGTTATTTTTACCATTAAAAGTTGTAGTAGAATGATGCATACTCGAATTCTTAATTAAAAATTTTGAATTCAAATTCGTCTATCTCATTTTTCTGTAGGGACTACTTTACCTTACAAAATAAGACTTGTCGTCATGAATTCAATAGCGAGACTTCAAAGCGAGTAATGTATTGATTTAGAAGAAAAAAAAACTAAGTTATTTTTTTTATATAAAAAAAGTAATTTTATAAAAGGCAATGAAAAAAAAGTAATTATCTTGAACATGATGTAACAAAGATGGAAAAACACATTTTTTAAGAAAAAAAACACAAGTGTTCCCTGTTTCAATTTGTTTGAACTACCTTTTTTTAGTCATTTTTACTAAAAACTAATTTTATAAAAACCAAAGGAAAAAAAGTAATTATCTTGAACATGATATAACGAAGATGGAAAAAAACATTTTTTTACAAAAAAGAACATAAATATTTCTTCGTTTCAATTTGTTTGAACTACCTATTTTTAGTCTATTTTGAAAAATAATTTTCCCCCTTTTTAATTTCAACTTCCCACATGATATGTATAAAAACATAAGATTAACGGACATTTGATACATTGAACATATTTTTAATTTAAGAGCACAAGATACAAAAGTCTTATGATAACACAACATGTGATTCTGCTCTAGCAGAAGTGCATGCGCTATTCAGCTTTGGAAAAACTCCCTGAGGTCCAGAAAGAGATGAAGTTTATTTTCTTAAACTCCGTATCAAAGACAAACAAATCGAAACAATTGAAGCATTTTAATTTATTACAAAGGTTGTTGCAAGTTGACCAAATATTTGGGGTGAAAAATGGAAAAAGTCATGGTTTGTGGTCCTAAATGTATGAATTGTCAAAAAGAAAAAGTATAACAACTATCACTTTCGTGTTAATTTCGCTAAGAAAGGGATAGTTTGTTTGTTCCCCTATATTTAATAATATTGTTGTTGGTCCCCCCTCAAGAAATATAAAATTCAAAAAAATACTTATAAGTTTAGTAGCAAACCAAAATAATTTATTTTACCATTATATTTAAACAATTCACAGCTAATTAGAGGATAATGAAATCATTTGTAAATAATAATTTTTTTGATTCTGTAGGTAGGTACTTTGAGTAAAAAAAAATCTCAATATAATCAAATGAAAGATCTAACTAATTAAAGACTCAAAATATTTTTCAAATAACGTTTGTAGTATTTGATTTTTGGATAGTTTTTTATAAACTTGGATTGTGTAATAATGTGTAATGATTATCAGATTAATATGAAATTTTAAAAAATTAGGATAGGAAAAGGAAATTCAAACTCTTGCCGATAAGATGAAGTTCAAATAGTTAATCAATTAAATTATTAAAATCTGAAGAGATTTGCGTCTATACGTTAAAGAATCTTTGTAATATATTTGGTCTACAATTGAGAAAACAAACAAGATTAGGGATAAACTTGATTAGTAGTTAGTACTTATCACATAAAGAATATTTGTGGGCCATGGAAAGTAGTTAGAAATTGGTTTTGATATGCTTATTTGGTAAGTTTGATTCCCATAAATATATATTCTATGAAAATGGATTATTATAATTTTAACAATATGCTGTTTAAAGTTTAAATCAGATGATTACGTGTATTACAATTCTTGTTTGTGATTCTTTTCTTTGATCAATCATTAAAATTATTGGATAATAGCATTTTTAGTCCCTCAAATAGTAATTATTATTTTTTAGTCAGTATGATATTTGATTAAATATATTTAATCTTCCGTTAATTAAATGTATTTTTGGGTCCCTTTATATTATATTTAATCTATTTTTAAGATTATATTATTATTAAATATGAAGTAATAATTAGAAGCTTAACATAACACATGGATAATGCAGGTAAAATTATTGATATCAAAGGTAAATTTATGAATATTCAAAAGTGGATCAAAAGTGTATTTTACAATTAATCGAAACTCAAATGTACTTGAGTAAATTTCACAAGGACTAAGTTACGAATTTTCAATAATTGATTGACCAACATTAGTGCCATTCACACTTAAAATTATTAAACTGTTATTTCTAAATAATTTTCTTTTTTTCACTTTATTCTAGCATAATATCTACTTTCTCATTCAAAATGTTTGAAAATTCTGAAATCTATTTTGTCCCTTCCCATTCTAAAAGAATATAACTATTTCAGGAACAGTTACTAATGCCCCACTTTTATTTTAACTTTTGAAAACACTTAATATTTCATGAGTCTCAAAATAATTATGTGTTTTTCATTAACATATTTTTTTTATAAGAAAATAATTAAGTAAATGTAATGTTTAATCATTTTATGTTATTTATGTCTTAAAATATATTTGTATTTATTGAGTATTTGCTCTATTTATGTGTCATAATTAAAATATTTGTAGTCTTCAAAAACAATTACTACTAAGGATAAAAAGGAGAAAAAAAAGTAATGCTACTTTGTAATTCTAAAATGACAAGTAATCCATACGTCCATCTTTATTTGTTCAACGTTGACTTGGCATACCCATTCAAAATAAAATGATAATTTTACTATATCACCCTTGAATAATAATAAATTAAATACTTTTGAGAAATACATTGAGAAATGACTATAGTTTATTATAAATTAAATCAGTAACTTAGGGGTTGTTTGGTTGGAAACAAGTTATTTCGAGATTAATTATCTCGAGATAAGTTATCCCACATACATATGAGATAACTTATCCACCACGGTAAAAGTGGTGGGATGAATAATTCAAGGGCCAACTGATACCTCCAACCAAATACATAATAAAATAATTTTGCATTTTATTTTAAAGATAATTATACCTTATACTTCACACCAAACGACTCATAACAAGTGATAAATTATTCCTTGATTTTCTAATCTGTTCAAGTAAAAGTGAACATCTATTTATAATAAAATAAACAAATAAAGATGGACGAAGAAATATTTGAGAATAAAAACAACAAATATTTTGAGACTAGAGTATAGAATTGGATAAAGGGGAAAAAGATCAAGTTTAATATAGTATATTAATATGATTTCAACTATTTTCTAGGGACAATAAAGCACATTTATAAACAGTGGGTTAAAATTAAAAGCCTCTACAATATTGAATTAAGACAATTTAATGTTTAGGGTTTTGTACTTTTTAAGTTAGGTAATTTCTGTTTTCACTTTGCTAGGCAATCTGTCAAAAAAGGCTCAAAGAAAAAAATAAAGTTTAGCCAGTGGTCCATTTTTGCTAGAGAATTTAATGTTTTTGTCTTGTGTTGTGACTTATGAGAACATTTAAAGTAAATATAGGTAGTGAAAAGTGATATATAATACTGATAGGGACTGACTGGAAAATAAAATACAGAAGAATTTGTCCACAAATACCTACCTACTCAACACAAAGTTGTCATCACCTTTCTCTACATCTTTTTCTTTTTGATATTCATGTTGTCCAACCTAGCATCGCTCGATTAATTTTTTAGGATATCTATCTTTCATCGGGACAAGATTAGCTTACATGTATAACGATTATACCCATAGGAAATTACTAGCTTAGGTTTATAATTTTGTTACAGATGATACATAAGAAATCTTTCATAGCAATTCTTACTTTTAATGACTGACATATTTATGATTCTTTTTTTTTCCGATGAAGCTACAATCATCGATATGTCGGACTTATAAAAAGAAGATGGTAGTGACATGCAACTATGTCATTAGGTTTGCGCGCAAGATATGGGTCACATAGTCTTTCAAGCCTGCTCTGGGGGTTTCATATGAGCAGTGTGCATGTCCGAATATGTTTTCGCTGAGCTATAAGTATCACAGATCGAGTTAGATAGAGCTTGACAAGTTGGTTCACTAACACCTTATTTTTCTATTTATAAGCCACAACCTACTTCGACATTTTCAATTTCCTGTATTTACTATCTTCGACCAATATAAATATCGAATAATTCTATCTACCAAACCTTAAACAAATAAAGAAAAATCACCTAATAATTCTGTCTCTATTGAAATTCGAACCCGAAGCATCATCAACTTGAGGATATTTTAGTTCTGAATTTTTCTCATTAAACTGGAAAAGATTGTTTCAGCATAAATGTCAAAACTGGGGACAATATCTTGCACTAGAAAGAGTGTATCATATCACTCATCTTTTCACAAATACTGGTTTCTAATATCTACTTTTTGCAGTTCTGCCTACTGGCAAGAACATCGATAGGACGCGTTTTGATGTACCTTAACTGGATGGAAAACTGATCCTAAAACATGCATGAACACATACACACACACCCCGGACACAACAGACATGTTAACGGTATACTTCATGTATGTCAAGGCTACCGACTCATCACGTTTCCATATCTTGCTGTAAAAAGCTCCAGCTTATAATCAATTGACTGCCAAAGAAGTAATATATACCAGGCATGACTAGTGAAAAACAGAACAAGTATCTATGCATTAAGAAAGGGCGTCGGGTAACACTTCCTCAGAGACTGAGTCACTATTTGAAGCATAAACCAAGATCCTGTACATAGAAGACATTATCATATTAGAAGATGAGGAAACAAATGATAATTGTATGAAGGGTGAAAGACTACTATACATAAAAGAAAAGCAAGGACTGACTTAAGCTCTAGGATAGCGAGAGCCTCCTTTCTTCCGGAGGAACTCGGGGATCTCTACTGAACCACCTTCCAGGAAGGATGAAGGTCGTCGGTTAATTCCAAGGTTGGCATCTCCTTGCGCTAGCTGGTTTCCCTGTAACATCATGAAACAAATTATACAAGATGCCAACCAATAAACAGGTTTTGCATGAAGAGTGAACATGCAAAGAGATGTGGAAGAGAGGAATACCTGGAGGGACCTCCCATCACTTTCTTCTTGGCGCTTAAAACCGGTGGCAATCAGGGTTATACTGACCTGCATCATGATAATAATGACGCGAGTAAACATGATCCAAGATGAATATTGGTCAAGGGTTCGTGATAAGAGAGCTTGAAACTAGTAGTAAATAGAAAGACTATGAGTAATGCAAACTAACAAGTGATACAATCCTCCCAATGCTGTAACATTACCAGAACCTTTTTGTGTTCACCATAGAACTAACATAAACAAGTATTTGACGTGGAAAAATAAAGGCAATGTCACAACAGATGCATCTATTCATTGGAGCACTAATTTTGCTTCATACCTATTTCTCCGTTCATATAAGAACTAAGAAGTAGTAGTATTATTCTCGTAGTTTCTTGTCCTATGATTTCTGTTACTACCCGTAGTTTCCTGTTCTTCGGTTATCGCATTATTTGGCTATTAATGTTCCTTGTTTTCTGGACTGTTTTCCTTGTTATTAGTTATCTCCTCTTTACTTGTATATTTTTCTTTTTTAAACTGCTGTGATATGCGTTATTTGAAGTGAGGATCTTTCGGAAACAGCCTTTCTACCTCCACGAGATAGGAATGAGGTCTACATACACTATCTTCACCAGACCCCACCTATGGGATTACACTAGGTATGTTGTTGTAAGAACAAGGCAATCTTGTATCTGTCCAATTTTAAACACTTGATTTACCAATTAGAGAGAAAGCCTTCCCTATACTTGGTCAATGTTGGACTTCTGACCTGATAAGCTGTTTCTTTGAAGTACATACTTTGCTGAGAAATTCTTTCAGAATTAGATTTATTATGCAAGAGAAAGCGACTGCTAATGCTTTCTCGAAGTAAAGGAAACCAACCATTACTATCCCTCACAAGTTTGGGTTTTATGGTCAGACATACTTTTATGCTGTTTCAATTAGAAGTTTCTGAGAGTCTATATCAGGCCCATTGTAATTATTAAACATCTAGATCTTTGCTAGTTATTTCAACATAGTATCATCTTAACAAAAGCAATATTATCCTTGTGATAGGAGATATTAATGTACCTGTCCACTTAATGATGGGTCTATCACAGCTCCAAAAATGAGGTTGGCACTTGGATCGACAAGGTCATATATAACCTCTGCTGCAGCATTTACCTAGAGAAGTGCCAGAAGAACATGCAAATGTAAGAGAAGACATCAAAAGTTGGATAATCATGAATTAACATAATCCACAATGTGTCGACGAGCATAAGATATTGTGAATGCAGCTTTCTTTGAATCTGGAGGTTCAAAAACACTAATGGTGCATCTGAAGTAGGAATGCTTTGATTCAATAGTTGTGAGTAAATGACTCATCTGACCATCACTATGTATAACATGAAAAGGATGCAGTGATGGAAATGTGGCTATATGAAATTTCGATTGAAAAGCAGTCATCAAAGCTGAAGAGAGATAGCAAATAGGACAAACAAGTAGACCAAAAGTGTAGACCATTAAATTTTCTAGAGAAACCGCACTCATGCATCATTAGTTAAAGATTCTCTTTGTTCTTTTCCATTTCTAGAAACAATCACTCAGGGAAATTAATGAAAGGGGGTCATATAACTATCTATACATGCTATGTTCGACATAGAAAAGTTAATTTACTAAAAGCAGTAAAAACATTGGGGGTAGGGGTGGGGGCGGAGGGGAGCAGGGCAGGTACCTCAAATAATGTTAAATCGTTACCACCGGTTATATTCCACACAATTCCAGTAGCTCTCTCTATGCCAATGTCCAGCAAAGGAGATTGAACAGCATTCAATGCAGCATCTCTGGCTCTGGTCTTCCCTGCAATATCAACTCAACAATATGACATGTCCTGTAATACATTCTCAACAGAAATAATTCGCTGAAAAAACGCAACTACTTGAGAGATGAGAAAAACTGTATGTGGCCATACATATATCTGTATCCCAATCTAAATATCATTCCATGTAGTCTGCTAGAACTCAAAACTTAGCTGATTTTTAATATGGATATGAAATACTTTCGGATCTTGGTCAAAACAAGGATGGAACATGCAAAAAAAATCTGCACTTTCAGAAAGAAGTAAAGGCTACAACATTGTGAAATTAATATAAACATGTCAAATGTACATTGTGGCATGACAGGGTATGAAAGTTATGAGAGTGCATGTAAGCTTAGGTTAGTCCGTTATTATTGATAACAAAGAAATCCCAGAAAAGATTCATTTAACATCTGTGGAAAAGATACTATATTTATCTTCACAAAAGATTTGACTACAAAAATATTGTAGTCTAATGTTTGTCATCGCAGCAGGAAAAGACATTGTTAATATTGAAAGGGGAAGACAAAAAAAATTAATTAGATCAACAGAACTTTCATTTCATATTTCCAACATTGCAGCCCTCTAAGTTGTCAAGTATGTCATTTTTCTTTAACATGACCTGATTATAGGTTCCGTCATCGGCTAGAGCTATTAAGGGATTTAATAGCTCGCTAACATCTCAGGAAACTTAACTCAAGGAACCATAAGAAAATATTAGGATAAAAGTAAGCAAAACATGTGATTCGGTGGTTCAGAATTGGGATTGCTATTCATTTGGGGAGGCTTCACTAGTCCAAATATTGATAGGAAATAAGGAGAATGATGCATAAGTGATCTTATGATAATGTTCTTTTTTTTAATGACAAGGGGAACCCGTAGTTGCTACCCTTTGAGTGCGCAAAGGGTAAAAATCCCGCTCCTATGCAATAGCTCGAAAACCACACAGTCGACCAACTGATGGTTGTGTCATTCCATTCAAAAAGTATACAGCATATTAGGCAAGCATAAGCTTGCGCTGCAGTCTACTGTTGGGTAAGTTAGGTTTGTACCAGAAAAATATATTTTATCTTGGTTAAAATGATGCTATCAGGGAACTCTTAGATGGGTGATTAGATTTAGAACTCTTATGATAATGCTCTTATCCACTTTTGTTTGTTTAATCCCTTTTGACTTTAGGAGTACTTAGAATATATCAGATATATAGGCCCCGAATGTATCACATAGGGCAACTTCATCACATTCGTAGTCACCTTACATCTAACAAAATTATGAATTAAACAGTACCAACAAAAAGTGATAGCCCACAATTGAAAAATAGCTTCCTAAACTTACCTGTAGCAGTTCCTATTCCCATCAATGAGGAACCAGCATTTGCCATAATAGCACGCACATCAGCAAAATCCACATTTACCAGTCCAGGAATCTGAATTCATGTAGATATACTGAGAATAAATAATACAGACTAATATATTCACCCACTTAACAAGAGCACTGGTTTGAAAGTGAATTCAATTCATCCATAAGCAAAGAATATATGAAATTATCAAAAATGAGATCAAAGTTACATATTACACAGCCGGAACTCAGATGCATAAAAAGAAGATGAATGTCATTTGGGAACAAATCATCCTTGGGCAAGTTAACCGAAAATTTATCAGACTCATTGCTCTAAAAATCCATACAAAGATCATATGGTATGAATCAGAAGCTTGTAGCAATAAATAAGCATAGAAAATTACATTGTTGATAACAAACTGAATAGAGGGTATCCTTCATTTTTGGTGTAAAGAAAAGTATGTAGTCATGGAAGAAACTTTTGTTGATTTTTCGGAATCCTTGTAACACTAATAAGGTCTTTTGTAATAGTACATATATCTGCCAGCCCTATTTAGTTGCTGATGAAACAAACTGATTGGAGGGTATCACATCATAATTTCTTCAGAAAACACCAAAGATGCTCCATAGTCTCTCCAAACATATCAAAACCAAGACCAGGATAAAATTAGTAGGGCGATTGATACTACTACGGATAAAGATTTGTGTGCAGCTGATGATCCCTACAGTCAATTTTGGAGTAGTATATGTAATGAGAGAAATAGGGAATGCTTTGATGAAACCTCAACTCCAAACCACTCTCTCAAAGCTAATTACTTATACAACCTTTTTTGATGGACTACGACACTACGTTAGCTACTATAATAAGAACGGATCAGTCTTTGGACTTTGTTAGTTCCATTGTCTTATGACACTATTAAAGGGGCTAACAACTCTTTATTTTGTATTTATTTCCTATAGCTATGCATCTTCTTGATGCCTTTCTGTGAATTAAATTCCTTCATCAAAACAAAGATTTGTGTGCAGCTGATGATGTGGACTTCTGGAGAATGAGGGATGAGAAATCAGTTTATGGATTAGAAAAGAGGAAAACCTTGTGATAGAGGCAGGGAATGCCCTATCCACTCCCTAATACCAAAACAGGAAAAATGAAAGAAAGAAACATCAACATCACTGGGCCAGCAAGGTTTCGTTGCATTCTTCCAGGTCAGACTAGAAACAGTTCTGCCAATTAACATTGACCGGGCACGAGAGTTTGTCATTCTTCCCTCCCTCCCTCCCTGTCTCTCCCTCTCTTTAGGGGCAGGTGGCAAATAATGCTAAATTCATCTCAAGTTTACAAAGCATGTATCCAAATTTGGATGTAAATGTCAATCTCTAAAGTTATATTTAACAGCTTATACGCACTGCAGACTTATCAGCTACATGGTGTCACCAAATCAAAGCAAATTAAGATGCACTCCCCTGGTAACAGACAGGGCTTGTTCAGATATAACTGAGTCAATGATCACCTAGACTAGGTGAAACTACCGTGATTATTAACATAGAATTGACTATATGTTGATATTGCTAGCATAAAATTGAGTAAATGATGACCTTCCCTAGGTGAAAATGTTGCTCCCTCCATTTCAATTTATTTTTCTAGTTTGACTTGACACGAAGCTTAAGAAAGTAAAAAGATGAATTTTGAATCTTGTGGTCTTAAATTAAAGATATGTAGAGAATGTACCAAAATGCCCTTTAATCTTGTGGCCTTAAACATGTCCCGTGGAAAGTTGAAGTTAAGGAATTGCCAAAAAAGGAAAGAGGCATTCTTTTGATACAAACTAAGGAAAGTAAGACAAGCAAATTGAAAAAGATGGAGTAAATAGTACTCTTTCCGTCCCATATTAGTTGATCACTTTTCTTTTTACACGCATATTAAGAAATCATAAATAAAAAGATAATTTACTAATTCACCCCTTTAAAAACTTCTAGGAAATTTTACAAACAAATGTGAACACTTTCAAAGAGAATTAATTGCAAGGGTAATATAGGAAAAAATTAATTAATGTTTTCTTGATTTAGTAAGGTGATCAACTAATATGGAACAACTATTTTTAATAAGATGATCAACTAATATGGGACGGAGGGAGTAACTGTTAAAAGAAAAGCAAAATCAAATGCACAAACATGAAGACTAGAGAGAAGTTAAGCGTGAATTCCCCGTGTGACCACGACAAGAACCTCCGCCCTCCCCCCCACACCAAAAAAACAGGGAATGACAGGACCAGTTGCTAGATGTAAAGTAAGACTGAGAAAAGCAACTTAACTTCAAATTCTTGGCAAACAATGCAGAGAGCAGAATGGAAACAAAAGAGTGGGAGAACTCAGCATTCGTACCGTAATTATATCAGAAATACCACGAACCCCTTGCCGAAGAATATCATCAGCCAGGTTAAAAGCTTCAGTTACTGGGGTTGATAAGGAAACAGCAGTCAGTAACTTGTCATTAGGAATGACGATTAGCGTATCAACATTTTCTCTCAAAGCTGCAATTCCTTCTTGGGCTTGAACTGCTCTTCTTCGTCCCTCAAAAGAAAAGGGGGTTGTGACAATACCAACAGTTAAGATACCCATTGATTTGGCAATTCCTGCAATTATAGGAGCCCCACCAGTCCCTGTTCCTCCGCCCATTCCAGCCTGCACATAAAATTTTGAGGCCCAGAAAGGGAGGAAAATTAAACCAAGTACTCCCTTCTACAAGACCAAAAATGTAAAGGAACTTTAATTCTGACTACAGCAATATGCAGATCATCCATATTTAACTTTTACAAAGCTTCTGGATAATATACACTGAGATGGATGGCATTAATCATCTTATATGTATATAGTTTCATAAGGATAACTCGTGAAGTTAAGAAGTCTCAGAATAAAAAATTGGAGGCAAAACAGAAAATGACACTTTATTCTCGAGTAAGATATTCCTTTTGATCAGTGCTCTAGATTAAATATGTTCAAGTTAAGAAACTTCACTGATTTCTGGACACCATTTAAACTCAATAAAATAAGGAAACAAATGCAGATCTATATTAAGACCCTAAGAGCAAAATTCATCATTTTATACCCCTGATAAATTTCAGTATCTCCCCTTCACTCAAGCCTTTCAACACCATATTTGGCGATTGTCGGTAAATTCCAGATGTCATACAACTTTTAAGAAAATCCCCTCATGCATAGTTTGGTTGAAGTTATCATAAATAGACCAAAAACTAAACATGTGGCAAAATGGCCCTATTTTGCACTTAAGCTAAAACTAAATATTTCTCTTTCTAGGTAATGACTGAATTACCCTACCGATCATCAAGGCACCCTGAAGATATCAATCATGCTTCTTTGAAAGTTTTTTCCTCTCTTTGAATGGATGATCTAGTCAAAATTCATTCATTTCTCATCCTATTTAAGCAAGGGGAATCATATTCTTTTTTTTTTTATGACAAGGGAAACCCGCAGCCGCTACCCTTTGGGTGCGCACAAGGTAAAACCCCCGTTCCTGTGCAATAGCTCGCAAACCACATAGGAGAGGTCACCCGCACTAGGCAAGCCCGGTGCGACGAGCTCGACCCAGAAGGCAAACCCCTTGCTTTTGCTGGCAAGGGGTTTCGAACTTGAGACCTCCAACATGGAAGTCCCAAGCCCAAACCACTGGGCCACCCCGAAGGGTAAGGGGAATCATATTCTTAAGGTGCTTAAAGGCTAAAATGCCAAATATCACAGATACTCTAGCTTCTCCAGCATCAAGTTCACCTAATTTACATTTCTGCCTGGTATCAACCTTATCCCTGAAATTGAAAACTCAAACTAATGATTTGATGAAACGTCAGGTGTTCATCCTGGAAATTTATAATCCCTTGATTCACTACATAGAATATATAGTACTTCATTTATAGATATTTCTGATCTATATAGGGAGTGATGCGCAACATCAGATTATGACACTGTCTTTTGCCTACAACCTTTACAATCAGCATACTCAGCCCAAGCTTGTGGTGTATGCAAGACGAAGACTAATTCCAGATGGCTACAAAATTTACGACAACTACATCTCATAGAAAGACACAATGCAAAATTATTTATAATGTTATGAAATTATTAGGATTTTGTAGTTGTGTAATCAGAGAAGCCTAAAGGGATGAAGTGGAACAATGTAATACAACTAGTGACAAGGAGAATAAACTATGCTCTTAAAGGTAGACCGCCTCATTTGTTTTCATTAAGATTAAGACGTCTGAATCTGAATATACATCTTAATATTAAGATGTGCATTAAGATTTAGATGTCTGAATACACATTTGAATTGTTAAGATGTTGTATTAAGATCGGAATACTAAATAATTAAGATTTTTAATTTTTTTCAACATATGAATGTATAAAACTTGTCTTTATTTAAAAATGAATACAACAACAACAACGCACCCGGTGTAGTCCCACAAGTTATTTTTTTAAAAATGAATAAATATAAAATTCAATAAAGTACTAAATTAATTTAATGTTATATTTAAAAATATTATTAAACATTGTATGGCGATTGATGGTAGTGTTGACTAGCGGCGGTGGTTATGAGTGCCGATTGGAAATGGTGTTGGTTAATGGCCATGTTGTGAATAGTAGCTAGTTGCTGATGGTGGTTGACAATAGTGGTTTATGGTGGCAGATGATAGTTGTGGTGGATTGATATTGACCGACTAATGGTAGTGACAAATGATATTAGTGGTTGATGATATATAGTGTCGATCGATGGTGGGGGTACTGATGATTTTTATTGTATTGTGTTGTATTGTTTTGATGAATATAACGTTTGAGTAAATATTATTGTTTCCCTAATTACATAATACAACTCATTAGCAATTTGAAAGACAAACCTACAAGAAAAGTAGGGTACTAGGTAAAACTATTATAAGAAGGCAGTGTAAAGGTTAAAATAAGATTATTATTGGAAATAAACAAAGACAAAATGAGAAGAAAAAAATAAGGTAACGACGCGATCACACCAAATCAGTCGTTACTTAAAATGAGACTTTTGATGGTTACATAACAATGAATTGAACGATACGATACAATATAATTTAAGTAACAATAAAAAGAACATGGTATTTAAACTAACAATACAATAGGTAACTATCATCCAAACAAGCTGCAATTATATGAAGATCATTTGGTGATTCTGCATGTTATCACCAACTAACTCTGATAGATGTGAATTAAGAGAATCTATTTCAGTTGAATCTATCCAGAGTATCTCTTATGAGTTTCATATATTCCTGACAGCTAGAAAGGAAGCACTGTATCGCAGTATCTGTTATCGAAGAATGAAAAAACAAAGAATCTTGTACAACACCATATGAAACCGAGAAACTGAGAACACAAAAAAAGATATGACAAAGCATCAAAGTAAAGTTAGCATAAAGCTAAACAACTTAAACTTATAGTCCTAAACAAAAGCTGAACTTACAGTCACAAAAACCATATCTGCACCGCGAACTGCTTCTTCAATAGCCTCCTTGCTTTCTTTGGCAGCATTCATCCCTATATCTGGATTACCACCTGCACCTAGTCCTCTCGTGAGCTCTTGGCCTATTGGCAATCGATTCTCAGGAAACACAGGTGACATCCTAATTGCCTGAATATCAGTATTCACAATCCAAAACTCCACACCATTCATAGAGCTCTCAATCATACGATTAACTGCATTTGATCCACCACCTCCTACACCAACCACCTTAATCTTAGCCTCATTGAAATTCTTCAAACTAGATGAGTCCATTAAGCTCTCGGCAACACCTCCACTCGAGCTTTCCTGTCTAGAGGTAGTGAAAGTATGATTTCCTTCACCTTGAAGCATCGAAATTTCAGGATGCAGATTTAGAAACGAGTCCTTACTTTGATAATTATTGAACCTATGTGAATTAGCTGAACACTTGAATTGTGGACAACTTGAAATACCCTTTTGGTTAACACCCAAGAATCCAACTTTCTCATCATGCATTTTCAAAGGACAAACTCTTCTTGCAAGAACAGTTAATACCCCGTTCCGCAATCGAGTATCCAGAGGCACAAACACAGCTGATGTACAACTAGCCATACCCAAACTCAAAAAACCCAGAATCAAAAATCAACTTAATCTACTTATTCCCCAAAAATGTCACAACCCCACTTGATTATAACTGAATTTCAACCCCAAAACTTTCTTTCAGCACCTGTCAATTGAAAAAAAAAGCAAGAAACAGGCAATCAGGGGAAATTTGTGAAAGAGCTCCAATACCCATAACCCCCACCCCCAATGAACAAACCCATTAAAACTTGCAACAAAAAGATAACATAAACCAGAAATGCAACAGATAAAGCTCAAAACTTCATACATTTCTACCATTTTTTCCCCTAAACAAAGCAAGATAGAATTGAAAACCTTAAAATTGCAGAAATTGTAGCAAGATTGTAACTTCAGCAAGAAAAAGAAAGAAAATGCCATAAGAGTAGAGAGATTCTTGGAAACTAATACTTACAGAAAAACTCGCAGCATTTGCAGTGAGAGAGGCGAAGTTTTCAGTGAGATAAAAAGGAAGGGATTTTTTTATCTATTTTGTTATTATTATAGTGTATAAGCTATAGTAAGAAACTGAATTTTAGCAATTTCAGTGTCCATTTGATATAAATATCAACTTTTTGTAAAATACTTCACAAGAATTGCTTGAGAATCACCCCAACTTAAGTTACTTTTTTTAAAATAAAAAAAATATTACGAAAAATGTGATAATTAAAAGAGGGTAAAAATTTGTTTATATTAGGTAAAAATATGGAAATTGCTTTTTTTCTTATAATTTTTCATAGAAGTGAATGAGATATTGACATTATGAAAGAACTTGTTGGGTTTGAAGTAAAGGTGATTAGGTAGATTTCGTTAAGTATTATGTCGTGAGAAACTGTTTGGATGGGGCATTGAGATAGTCAAAAAATGTATTCTCATTATTTCTTGAAATACTTAACTTTTTTATGGCCTTTGAGAGGATTATTGTCGGTTTGTAATTAATTGATGAAGAAAAGCATAATTTTCGCAGCGGTCTGTCCTTAATGTTTCCACGATGTCTAGCAATTCTTCGTGAAGCAGGTGTATGCAAAACATAGAGGTACCTATCAGAAAGTACAGTGGAAGAGACCGGTATGCAATAATTTTGGAGCTCCCAAATGGATTTTCATACTCTATCTAGCAATTCTCAACAGTCTTTATTCTAGAGATCAACTGTTGAGAGTGGAATTTGATTAATCAGAATATCTATCATTTGTTCTTTAAATGTTTCTTTTTGGCGGTTGTAGGAACAAGCTTTTGCGTTGGCAAGTACATAATAGGAACGCAATGAAATGGACAAAGAAGGTGTGTTGGATTGAGACTCATGCTAATGAGAAGAATACATGGGTTGAACTACTTAGGATCACTGTAGCTGATACAGTGTATACGATATGATAAGAAAGGAACAATTGAGTTTTTCAGATCAAGAAGAAAAACCTTGCGGTTTTCACAGGATAAATTATTCATATTGTGGTAATGCGAGGTAGTTTAAAGGCCAGGGTAACTAATTGGATCGCAAAACTTAATTACTATTCTTAAACTATAGCTCTTGTATTGTTGCTTGGCTGCAATATGTTGGGACTATGTCCAACAATCAGATAGTATGTACATAATTTCCTACTTTGAATCATTATTCATTACTCGATGGAATGCATTACTCCAAAAACAATGTTCCAACAAATTGGCAACATGAATTTTTTTATTTATTTATTAAAAATATAAATAAATAAAACACTGAAAATTGCGTATTTAAAAGGTTCAATATAACTGGCCACTTGACGTGGGTCTCACCTGTATTCCAAATTGCACACAGCACACCACTCACTGTGTGTGTCTGTGCTGCCTTTCTTCCACCATCTTGTCTGAACATTTTTCTCCTAAAATTTTATCAGATTTCCACCCCCTTTTGATCGACGGGGCTTATAATTTACCTCCATCGATCCATTTCTGGTTCTGGGTCGTGATCTCTTATTTGATTCTTGTTGTAAGTTGGACAAATTCTTGATTTTTTTGGTTTAATTTTGCTGCATCATCCATGTTATGTATCGCTTTTCTATATGAATGTGTGTGGGGTTTCTTAAAGTTTTGATTTTTTTGGTTGCAGGATGGGAAATTGATGAGGTGTTAATGGGATTGTTGCCTTTGCCCAAAAAGGTGAAATATTTTGAGTTTATTTTTTTTATTTGGGGTTTTGAAGTAGATGGTTGTGGAATCAAGAAATCTATCATTGGTTGATTATATAATTTGATGGGTCATTGATTGGGTTGCCTGATATTTCATCTTTTGGTCTACTTTCCCCTGAAGATTGGTCTGTGATTTACTGTTACTCTCAGTTTGAACAGTAATGTAGCTGTGAAGTTTGGAGGTTTTAGTTTGGTCTACTTTTTAGTTGTGAAGCTGTAAGATTGGTCTACTTTTAGTTTTTTTTTTCCATCTGATTTTGGATTTCATTTGGTTGCTGAGAATAAGCTGGTTCTTGACTTTAAACATGCCTAATGTAGCTGTGAAGTTTGGAGGTTTTAGTGGCTCAGTTGGATTTATTAGGTTGTAGCATTTTTTTTTCTTTACTTCTGGTGGCCTTTTGATTTTTTATTCTGTATGAAGGCTATGGAGCACCTTCCTGTTGAGGTTATTGGCAACATATTGTCTCGGTTAGGAGCTGCACGAGATGTTGTGATTGCATCTTCTACTTGCCGGAAATGGCGAGAGGCTTGGAGAAATCATCTTCACACACTCACATTTAATTCGAATGACTGGCCTCTTTATCATGAGCTTACAAGGAGCAGACTAGAGATAATTGTGACACAGACAATATTCCAGACTAATGGATTGCAGTGTCTGTCAATTATGATGGATGATGTGGATGAGTTCTCTGCTGCTCCGGTGATTGCTTGGCTAATGTACACGAGAGAAACTTTGCGTGAGTTACACTATAATGTCAGGACTACACCAAACATTAATATTCTTGAGATATGTGGTCGCCAGAGACTGGAAGTATTGGCTCTGGCACACAATACGATTACGGGTGTTGAACCTAGTTACCAAAAATTTCCTTGCTTGAGGTCTCTTTCACTGAGCTATGTCAGTGTATCAGCTTTGGACCTCAGTATTTTTCTCACAGCCTGCCCGAAAGTTGAGGTCTTGAGCCTTATAAGTCTGGATATTGTTTTGTCTGATCCACATGCCTCAATGGAGCTGAGTACTAACTCTTTGAAAGATATCTATGTTGAAGCCATTAGTTTGAATAAAATCATTCTGGAGGCAGATGGCCTTGAGAAGTTGCAGTTAAAAGATTGTACACTTGAGGTCTTTGAGCTTGTCAGCAAGGGGAAGTTAAGACTCCTTAAGATTGATGATGTTAGTGTCATCCATCTTGATATTGGTGAGAGCGCTGAGAATCTTGAGATTGTGGACGTCAGCAATTTCACGATCATGTGGTCCAAGTTCCATCATATGATAGCAAAGTCATCAAAACTGAGAAGACTGAGGCTATGGGCAGTTGTGTTTGATGACGACGATGAGGTTGTTGATATTGAGACAATTTCTGCTTGCTTTCCGCAACTAACTCATCTCTCCTTGAGCTATGAACTAAGAGAGGCAGTAATTCAGTATGGATTGCAGGGTTCTTTCCAATTGGAAAATGTGGTTGTATTGGAGCTTGGTTGGACGGTGATCAGTGACCTCTTTTCACCGTGGGTAGCAGGGCTATTGGAAAGATGCCCTAATCTAAGGAAGTTGGTGATTCATGGGGTTGTTTCAGAAACCAAAACACACGAAGAATGCCAAACATTAGCAAAATTCACATCCTTTATTGTAAGGCTAATGAAGAAGTATTTGAAGATAGATGTTCAGTTTGAATATGAATAGATTTGAGCAACTGCACCCTGCCTTGGAATTCACATTTTTGTTCAACTGTCATTAGCTCAAGGAGGTACACGATCCTTTGTGGTGATTGTTTCTGTTTTTACGTGGTTACCATGCTCCGTTCCTGTTTTAGTTAAAGTTGTGCTTCAGCATTGTAACTTACCCTATTCTTTCAACTCAAGTTCGCATAGTGTTCACAGTTGTGGTATTCTTATTGTAACTTCTCATTTTCTTTATTTTTTCTGCTTGTCTGTTTTATTTCTTGTTGTAATGAAGTTTAGTCTTTTGTTCCATGTTTTAGCTTTTCTAATATATACTGCATAAATTCAACTACATACTTGCTGAAGAAACGAGGAAAAAAACTGTCATCTAATTGCCATGTAAAGGGAGTGAATCCCCCTTCACAAGAAGTAGAAATTAGCAGACTGTATGTTATGTACTGCTTTCCATAACGCTCTATTTTGGTATTGTCACTGCTTTCATTTATGTATTCTCATTTATAAACTGCTTTGAGATGTGATACTTGAGCTGATGGTCTATCGGAAATAACCTCTCTATCTCTACGAGGTAGGGGTAAGGTCTACGTACACTCTACCTTCTCCAGACCCCACTTGTGGGATTACACTAGGTATGTTGTTGTAGATACAACCCTGGCTCCGATTGATGGAACCCTATTCACCTTCTCCTTTGTTACTCGTTTGTTTTGCAGCCCTGTTTAGTGAAGATGAGAAGTGGTATTCCTATTATTGTCATGCGAATTGTCAATCCAAGCAGGCTCTAGTCCTTTAAGTTGTCAATAGTAAGCATTTTTCCTCATCGTCATATATATTATGACGATTTATTTATCAAAAACTCATATCTTAGAAGTGCAATTTTTATAGTTGATATTATTTTTGATTTATATATAGCGTCTAGCGTAGATTTTAAAGGTTGCATAGTTCTTATTATTTTATCCTCGCACTTCATTCTATCTACACTTGTATACACTCTAAAGAGTCAGCATGAACATTTCTTTGTCTTTAAGTATATGATCTACAGTCACATTAAGTGACTTTTTCTTAACACTTTTTACAAAGGGGTCTCTATCTTTTTAAAGCAATTCTAATAGAGACATGATTTATTAAATACTTAAGAAGACTAAACTTTCACTTTTACAAACTTAAAAGACTTAAAACGGTTTTAAAATATATTAAAGGGACTAATTTTTTAATTTTTACTTATTCCATATTTGTCTTCCCACAGCTTTAAATGAACTTTTCCCCTCACCTTTTTCACACTCCACATCCATTTATCAAACAGTCTCTCCTGAGTTCGTATCGATCGATTCAGCGTTAAGATGAATCGGATTCATTTCTTTGTCCGTTTATTTTCTGGTGGAAAAACCCTAGTTGTTCAAGCCGATTCCACGAATCGAGTGGAAGTAATTCACCAGAAAATCAGTTTGATCACCGGAATTCCCATATCTGTCCAGAGCTTAATCTACAGGGGCAAACAACTTCAATCAGACCAAACAATATCGGATTGTGGAATTGAAATGGAATCCAACTTGCAACTCGTTGGCCGATTGAGGAGCACAAAGCATTCTCACGCTTGGAAGCTCATGAATGAATTGTCTTCACTAATTTGGGGATTCCGCAAAACCGAATTCCGTTCGGTTCGGTATGACAAGGATCATATAGAAGATGTGCTTATAGAGATTTTAATTATGATTCCTCATGACATTGATGAAGCCTCTGAATACCTCGAAATATTTATTTCATCCTCTGTTCCAGCAGCTCTGGTAATGCTTTATATGTCTTCACGTCTAGACTATAAAACTCTTGCTGATAAATGTATTCGTCAAATTATAAATTCATTTAAGAGTGAGTCCCTTACACCAATGTATAGTACATGTGCTATCATGTTAGAATTTTGTAAGATTTTGAGAGAGGCTGGGATTGAAGATGATTTGTACATCTTTTGTCGGAGTAGTTTCTGTGATATCATAGAGCTCGTAGGAATTGCGAGGTGCAAGGCTGATACGAAGAAGTTCATATCATTGCAGGATGTTTTACCATTTGTTCGTGAGATAGCTGCTCAATTACACCATAACTTAAATTTGACTATGGAATCAACTGATTTGTCATTACCGTGTAGCCTTGTGCATGATTTTGCTGCTTTTATGCTTCCAGTGCGGAATGCCATATTGTTTCAAGTACCATTTGGCTTTACAATAACTTTTCCGTTGATGGAGAATGACACCGGTGAAGCAGAGTATTACAGAGAGAGTATAGAGTGTTTACATTGTTCTTTCCATGGTTTGCTAGAAGCAACGTTGTTGTCTTTAGGGCATTTGGAAACCCGGTTGGGCTTGAAAGAGGAAGTAGAAGATGCGCGAGTTGTACAATGGTGGTCTTTGTATCTTACAATTCTAAAGGAGTTAAACAATATATCAAAAGTGTATACGGGCCTGGAGAAAGTGTTTTGGCAAAAGATGAGGCAAGTAAAGGCTTCATTGTGCTTTCTGGTAGTTAAGTTTGCAACTAAATCAGAAGATTATGGATGGCTTTTCGAGCACAAGGAGGTAATGAGTTTTGAGGTACGGAGACATTTGGCAATAATGATGCTTCCAGAAGTTGGAGACGGCGGGGGGCTGTACTGCATGTTCATTGACAGGTCTCGATTGCTGGAAAATTCGTTTGAGTACATTGGTAATGCCACTCCTAAGAATCTGCAAGGTTGTTTGTTTATTAAATTCAAACATGAAGAAGCTACTGGGCCTGGTGTGTTGAGGGAGTGGTTTTTATTGGTATGCCAAGCGATGTTCAACCCTCAGAATGCTCTCTTTGTTGCTTGCCCAAATGATCGTAGAAGGTTTTTTCCAAATTCAGGTAAGCTTTTATTTCATTTATGCACTTTGACATTTTGCTAGTATTTGGTTCTAATTTTGCTATTTGGTTCAATATGAATGGATGTCGATAAGGATAAGCGTAAAGTCACTTGACTGAAAGGAAATGGAGCAACCACAAACCCCCGGTTGTAACATCCCTCCAAATGCACCTTTCTTATAAAGATAAATGTGTTTTTACATCTTCTAGTATTTGAGGATATTCAAGAAGCTATAATAAATCTCGTCGCTAATATTAACACACATCTACAATTTGTGTTTGCAGCATCTAAGGTTAATCCATTACACCTTAATTACTTCTGCTTCTCTGGTAGGATGATTGCATTGACTTTAATGCATAAAGTACAAATCGGTGTTGTGTTTGATCGCACTTTCTTTTTGCAATTGGCTGGGAAAGACATAACATTGGAAGATGTTAGGGATGCGGATCCACCCTTTTACAAGAGCTGTAAGGAAATACTAGAAATGGATCCAGAGATGGTGGATGGAGATAATCTAGGCTTGAGGTTCATTTGTGATATTGAGTCGATGGGCTCTAGGAAAGGGATCGAGCTTTGTCCCAATGGGAAAGATACGATCGTGGACAGTAAGAATCGGGAGAAATATATTAATCTTCTTATAAAACATTACTTTGTAACATCAGTTGCAGAGCAGGTTGCGTGTTTTGCCAAAGGCTTTGCTGATATTACAACCACTTCAAGGCACCAACCCTTTTTCCGGTGTCTTAATCTTGAGGATCTCGACTTAATGCTTGATGGTAGTGGAAATGATATTTCTGTTGAAGATTGGAAAGCACATACTGATTACTCTGGCTACAAGAAAAGTGATCGTCAAATATCCTGGTTCTGGAAGGTACATGATTCTTGTCTCTACTAATAGTTTGAATTACTTGTAAAAGTAGTAAATTTTTCACTCAAGACATATTTTACGTGATTAATTAACTAATATATGTGATGAACGTTTGAGCATACGTGTAGAAATTCTCTATAATATGATCTGGAAAAGTGTCTAATAGGAACAGTTAAGGACACAATTGAAGCATGATTCGTGAAACTATGCTTGGCAAATGAGTCCATTATTCAGGACGTTCTGTCATGTTTGTTATCTTTCTTTACGTGCAGATAGTCGAGTGTATGTCTGTTGAGCAGAGAAACGCGCTCCTCTTCTTCTGGACTTCAATTAAGTTTCTGCCTCCAAATGGTTTTGCTGGTTTGAGCTCAAGGCTTTACATCCACAAAAGCTCGACACCTTATGATCACTTGCCTACTTCACAAACCTGCTTCAACTGCTTGCGTTTTCCTCCTTATAAGTCCAAGTCTATCATGCAAGATCGACTCCACATAATTACTCAAGAACACATTGGTTGCAGCTTTGGTACCTCGTGATCGATCAGAGGCAAATTCAACATTTGAAGCTTATAATGTTTAGTCTACAATGTAGGTAAACTCTTGCTAAAGAAGAAACAAAAATTAATACAGTCAGATCTTTCTATAACTTTCTATAGAATCGATCTCTCAAGTCATGTTATATTATACTCCTATGTTTTCTATAACAATATTCTACTATAGTAGAACAAACAATGTTGTTAGCATCATGGGTGAATCGCTATATGTTCGGTAGAATTCAATAATTTTGGTTCAAATTCAATATTTTGTATTAAGATTCACTCGATACACATATAAATCACTTATCAAGAACCAAGTAAATACGTCTATGTTTCAGAACTCATAAACTTAAAATCTTGAAAACGGTGAATCACCGCTTGGTGGTAATGAAATGAAGGCATCACAAGCTTTAGTTGTGATAGGAATAGCACATGAAACATCAGCTATAGGCAACAAACAATTAGCTAGAAGAGTACAAGTACTAGTTGTTGTTGCTCTAAAATAGCTTTCCCAATTATAATTATTGGGTGTTGAAAAATAATTATTCACTAATTCCAAATCTATCTCAAAAAATTCTTCTTCATCTTCTTCTTCTTTTGGCAATTGATCAATAAGAATTTTGATTTCTTCTTTGAGTTCTTGATTAGAGACTAGAGCCATATTGTTGTGTCTTAATTTTGGTGATTTAGGAGTAATATAGTTATTTATATTAAGATTTGTGTGGTTGGTTGGTGGAAAATGGGTTAATTAGTAGAACGCTCTTCAACAAATCTTCAACTATCTTCTAAACTAATTAGATATTTGTAGTTATTTATTTCTTAAAGCAACTAATTAGATACTACTCTCTCGTTTCATATCAGTTGTTCACGTTAATTTAGAAATTGCCAATTTATTTAGAAAATCAATATACAATCAATTTTTTCTAAAAATATTTTATCCTTACCATTAATTCTTTTTGAAAGTGTAAACAAGTTTATAAAGTTAAAATTCATTGATCATGCGAAAATAATCATTGATAGAATAAATAATTTTTATGTGATTAGTACATTTTTTTAATCGGTGATATGTTGTTTTACATACTTTTTGATTCGTATATTGCACATATTTAGTTTTTAAGATCCTAAAATTAAAAAATATTTTTTTTTTTGAAAAAAACTTTATAACAAATTATATGAAGATATATAAATTGAAACGAATGAAGTAATTTGTTTCCACCTAAACCAACAAAAGAAAGGTCAGTAGAAGTAGAGCTAATAGTAACAACCACATGGGAGGATTTTTATCACACATTTCCTAATTATTAATATATGAATTAATTATATTAATAATTAGCAGCCTGATACGTCAGAGTCACGCCACAAGTAATTTATTTTATAATTTTTCCACCTATTTTATTGCATGATTATAAAGTACATAATAAGTTAACTATGAAGATGCTAGGAAGATAGTGAGGATTGAACTCACATTTATGGTACAAATCATTGATATCACTAAACTATAAGTTTGATAGTATGTTACGAGAATTTCACTCGTACCTCGCCATCTAACTTCTAAGTATTCACCAAATTGTTTGATTAGTATATACTCATAACTCAATAGTCAATACAACGACGGTAATATAAGAAATATTTATGTGATAAATAATACTTACTATTTTTTAAAGAAGTCGATAGAATTGAAAATTCGTTCGACAAATAATGAATGGGTATCCATAAATTCAAAGAAGAAAGAACGTTTCCTCATATATACTATATGATTAGATGCATCCATTTAAGACTATGTAAATGTATTTTATTTCTTTGGCCATTGGTTTGAATTGGTCAAAAGACTTTTTAGCTCATCCTATGAAGGAAATGACGCGTGATGTCTTTAAAAGTGTTCGATCTTGAAGTTTGTCATTATTTAAAAAATATAATCTTAACTTGAGAAAGAATTTTTGTTGTTTATATTCGATATAAGTTTTAATTTTTATCTAATTTGTAGTTAATTGAGTAAGCTCACTCTTTTGAAATATCTTGAACTTCTACCTTATAGTTAGAAATAATTTATGTCCACGGTTTATATCTGATGAGCAACAAAAAAAATTATTTAACAATTTTTTTCAAGCAACTACATTTTTAAATGATTGTTAAGCGAGGTAAAAAATAATTGGAGGTCGTGTATGACTTTCTAAGATTCTGTGGTTACTAATATATTTTGAAAGTGCACAAATATCTACTTTTGAGATTGTTATTTAATTTATGTTTATGTTTTTGTTGTTGTTGCAAGTTTACATATTCTAACTTTATATGTACATGATTGAAGTTGAAAATTTACGACTTTAAATATTTTTGTCTGAAGTATATATATCCTTGTAAATGACAAATATCAGAAACTTTTATCTGAAGTTTAATATAATAAAATTAACGTCGAAGGATTTTAATTTAAATTGTGAACTAGTTGACAAAACCAAATTTCAAACTTAATCAATAAAATTTTATCTGAACTTACCAAGACTAACGTCAGATAAGTTTAATCAAAGCAATAATCATAACAAGGTAAAACTTTAAATATTTTTGCCTAAAATTATAAAAATTAATGCTATTTAAAAATAATTTTTTTCTCAAAATATGTGAAAGCAAAATTATAAGTGAATGAAGTACACAACTGATAGTGAATTAGAAATACAGTGAATGAAGTACACAACTGATAGTGAATTAGAAGTAACAACATGGGTTGTGGTGCACTGGTGGGAGTGTTTCACCCTTAATCATAGGTCTCGGGTTTGAGCCCGGGTATAGAGAAAATTATGTTGGGAGCGCCACCCTCGAATGGACCCTGCAGAGCGCGATTCGAATTTAGTCGGAGCTCTAATGTGGATTTCGGACACCAGATGAAAAACCAAAAAAAATAAATAGTGAATTAGAAGTGCAAATGTGCAATAATAATATACACGCATTCATTCGACACCTACGTATAATTAATTATTTTAGGTTTATCCTACTTCGCACTCACACATATCTAAATTTAGACCGTCTCACACATGTTTAAAATCGGTTCATTCCATCTAGGTCATCCCTATATACCATTAAAAATAATTTTAAAGCATACTCAAATAAAGGATCGTAATTGAACACATATTCAAACAAAAGGTATTTTAAATTTATTTCTAATATAATGAGGATATATTTGATTTTATTTTCCTATTTTTTGTTTTTTACTTAGCATGAGAAGATACTAGCTACGTGTTATGTTTGTGCTTCTTTATTCTTATCTTTTATTGATCATAGCCACAAAAGATGAATCACATAAGGCCATCACCAAATAGAACTTTGAGAAAACCATAAATAAAAATGCTACCAATTGATAAATGCCAAAAAAAATAAAAAATTAGTCATTTTCATTCCTCTACCATTTGAATCTATACCAATTTATCTTCTTTTTTTCTCTTTGTCACATGGAATAGGAAGTACTCACCTCATACTAGCATATGACCACTTAAGAAAGGTTTTATCCTAAATCTTTGATTATTTTTTTCTTTGGCAAAGGATAAGGACATGTGTCATAAATATGTCATGCATATGTCGACACCATAAATTGTATGTTAGGTACTCTATTGTTATTAATTAAAATAAATAAAGAACCTTCTAGTATCTCCTTATAGTAAATCTTGTTCATTAGTGTAACAAAAGATTATCTAAAATTTTAAACTATGAAAAGTAGAGAGGTAAATCACAACTTAAAAACTGTTATTTTATTAATATTCGAGAAATTGCGATCTATTCGTCCCCTTCAGTTGAAGGTATGAAAATTCTTATTGAGTAAAAGAATTAAATGCACAAAGCAAGTAATATATACAAACTAGTAGTATAGTATCAATTAAAAAAGTCTTAAACTCTAAAACTTTCTCTTTGGATGAAGCTATCGAAAGTTTGTCTCTAAACTTTAGAAAGTTTGTCACTTAATTATGTGGACTACTAAAATTATAACTATATTTTGATAATGTGGGCGAGTAAGGTTGATTATTACTCAATTGAATCACTTAATTGTCATGTTTACTGATTAAAACAACAAAACATACAAATTTAAATGTTTTTTTAGGATCAAATTGGTAATAATTTTATATACAATTTTAGAGGATTTTTTGGCATGCAAAGTGTCGAAGTTCCAATTTTTAACATTTTTAACGAATCACACGTCAACTACGATTTTGACATATTCATCAAAAATTATTTAGTAGCACTAAATTACGTTGCAATTAATTCTTTGTTCATCTTATTACCATATGTATTTTTTGTCCTTTGATCACTTTCATTTTTATATCTGTTTTTCATAGTGTAAGGTGTTATACTTGAGCCAAAAATATAGAGGAAATAAGTTGAAGTAAATATAAGATCTACGTACATTTTTTCCTTTTCAGACTTTACTTATAAAATCACAGTAAATATTATGTTGTTTAACTAAATTATCCTAGAAAAAGTACCAATGTATTAAAAGACTTTACAAAATTAGTTCATATTTCATAAAGTAACATTGACAAATAAGAAAATTGGGAAATTTGACATTTAAAATAAAATTTGTATAACTTTCATCATCTTTATTTATTTAACCAATAATGCATGGTGAAAACCTCAATGGAGAGGGAATATCCAAATTCCAAAGATAGTAAAGTTGAAATCTAAAAAACAAGCCAAACCATAAATTATTTTCCAAGCAAAAGATAAAAAATAACCAAAAAAAAAATATACACTAATTAATTCACATTTTTTTTGGTCAACAATGGGACACCCCCCAAGATTTTTCTCTATTTCCATTTTGGTCCCCATAATTGATAATATTTAATTCACATGACGTCATTTTCCGACGAGATTTCATCATCTAAATCCAACGGCTGTGATTATATCTTCCCCAATTTCTCTGCTTTAACCACCGGATTTGCCTTAGCAATGGCTTCTCTCCCCATAGATTTGAAATCAAACGAGCATCCATGGATCTCCGGGTACCGATGGGTCCCACAAAACGTGGTCCCACATCTACACTTGAACCCGGTCAATCCCACCTTCTTCCTGCAGGCCGAACACCTGTTCGGCTGTACAGGCATCGGTTGGACCACGGCCGCGATCACAACCTCCGGTTTTTCCTCAACAGCTGCCGGTTCCGGACGCACCAGTACCGATGAGCTTGGAGATGGAATCGGCAGCTGCGGAGGAAAGAGGGAATCAATAGGTTTTTGTTGTCCCCCTTTTATATAAACTTCATTGTAACATTTGGAGCAGAAATTTTGTGTTGTTGGGCTGCCGAAGAAACCACAGTTATTAGCGCATAATATATGTCCTTCTGGTGCTTCAAATCCATGCTCTTCCGCCATAATTATATCGATTTCTCTTCGATATCAAAGAAAAAAATTTAATTCAATTGTGGAAAGCAAATGGAGAAAAAATGGGGTGAAGGGAGAATAGATAAATAGAGAAGGGGGAAGGAGACAATAGAAAAAAATGAAAAAGGGAATTTAATAATGAAAATGGTGGCAAATCATTAGTGAAGGATATAATATAATATAATAGAATAAAGAAATATGAAAAGAACAGGCTGGAAGAGGCAAAAAAGAGGATGAAGATGGTTTTTGTTTTTATTTTTTATTTTTAAATTGGGGAGGAAACTTAGTAAATGAAGGGAAGCCA